ATGTACAGTGGGCCGCAGTGCGGCCCACTGTACCCTAACCCTAATTTTTTTAGGTATGGGGTTGGACATCACTGGTTGGACAATGCAGGTTCGACATCCCTAGTGTACACTATTTGATTGCATATCCATCTATTTGACTGTCTGCATTAAGCAAATTTCTGTTATAACCTTGGCTTTTCTAATATGACGGCATAGAGTTTGCCATCAATTCTGCTAGTTAAATTTTGATTCAACTAAAAACATAAAATTCACATGTTTTAGCCCAGAGAAGCCACTGCATGTGCATTTTACTTATCAGTAATGGCTTTTTATGTGAATGGTAGGCATGCCACACAGTGCATTCACTTTTATGCCTGTCTAACTTTTATGCTGGTCTGCTCTTCCAACTTTACTTTCAATGTTGCTACATTCACATCTTGTTTGTAACTAATGCACAATTTTCAAGTGATGAAAATGCACTCTCTGCACTATTTCATGAGAGGATAAATCTGTATCATTCAATACAACAATCATGGACTTTTTACATGTTTATCAAAAACTTTCCATTTTGCTTATAAAAGCATACCGCTTATGCACAGGTTTATATACCAATGGAAAATGCAATCACTAGAAACATTGCTGCAGAAGACTTTGTCAGCCAATGTATATGCATTCTCCATGACATCTTAAATGTGAGAATGAGACTTTATGGTTTCTTGCAGGTCCACAAAATGATACTTTATAAAAATGTATTTAATTTTAAAACATTGAGTTTTATGAGTGGTGCAATTTAAGTAGTCCTGTACACAACAATACTATACTAACTGATTAATGAATTAATATAAAACTTTTCCCTATTATAAATGCATATAAAATATAATATATAAATTTTCATCTACAAGTATGTATTTTCTAATATCAGGACTTATTATACTGGCTTTACAAAAAATATTTTTTATTTTATTTAATATACCAGGTATATTAAATAAAATAAAAAATTGTTTTCTGTGAAACTGTAGCATTATCTGTAAAGCCAGTATAATAAGTCCTGATATTAGAAAATATGTACTTGTAGACAAAAATTTATATATTATAGTAAGTCAAGGTCATTGAGGCATTTTAATTAAAGAATACAAAATATCCTAATATATTATATAAAAATTGATTTTTATAACTTAAATAATTACCAAGAGCATCAATACTTTGAGCCATTCTTTGTTGTTGAGACATGCTACGCCTAATGTATCTTCTTCGTGAAGCAGATTTCTAATAAAAATAAATTAAATATGATCACATAAGTAGAAGTTTAAAAATTGTTGCTTTATTATAAAGATTACTATAAAGATTATTATAAGGTACTAGCACAGCAATTAAAGGATATTTTGTTTGAATTTAGCAATATAAAAATTTAATTAATATAAAAGTTTGCAACATTGTATTATTAATTTAAATATATCTGTTTTACATTTAATTCAATACTTTTGATACAGTCTTTGAATAATACATTTGTGGACACCAGAGGTATGATGAGGTTGTACCTCTTTTTGTCGGCAACAGTTTGATGAAAGTTGCCCACTTGTCAGGGGATGGCTTGTTTATGAATTTCGATCCCGAGGGGTCGGGATTCTTTTTGTCACATCAAGTAGAGGAGGTGAGAGGGATCGTCGATAAGGTGTAGGCGATATGCGAGTAAATGACACCATTTAACAATGGAAACAATGATTTATTAGATTAACAAAATTTAAAGATTACAGACTCTTAAAGAACTTTTAAATTGGTTCGCTAGCTCCTAATACCCGGAGAGAGAGTTCACATTAATTGTTTCATACCTCTAAGATAATTCCATGTAGAAAAGAAAATATTGTCCTTTGTCTTGTGATCGAAGCACAAAGTTATAAAATCCTCCAAGACTTAATCCTTTCTGACCAGCCTTAGACGAAAGACTCCCCCGAGGTGGGGACAGAAGTCGCTTTTATAGCTTCGTGGCAGGAGAATTTGTCATGTGATTAACTATTAGGTGAGGTAAGGTTGGTCTTGAAGGTGTGGAGGTTAAAGTTGTTCCCGGGACCAAAACAAAATGATGAATTTGGACTTTAATATAAACTTTAAGTCTTGCAACAGAAGAATGCCATTGTTAGATGGTTGAATGTTTACATTAAAGAGGAGAGTTATAAGTTTCTATCCTTGTTGATGAGATATTTGATTCCTTTTTTCGGACAATGTTATTTTAACAAGGAGGCGATATATTTGAAATAAATTTGTCTCCTCCTCATTAAAATAATGAGGAGGCGACAAATTTATTTCAAATATGTCGAAAGTTCAGGTGGAAAGTGAAAAATTTAGATTTACACTCGGGTCAGATCTCACACATTCTAAATTCAGCTAAACCAATTCTTAAATTCTATGAATCTAAATTCTCAAGTGATTAAAAATAAATTAATTTATTACTATTTTTGTATTTTTTAGTCTGCCCTGTGGACCCTAACAACATCTATTTATCAAACTAATAATGGGTTTGGCCAAGCCCATAATCAGTAGTAGTGGAGTGGTGAGAGATAGGCCCAACATGTTGGGACAGCTCATCTCCAAACATTGCTGGAGTTTTTCAACCTGTCCAAATTTGTTCACAGGTCTTTCAGAGCAGTAGGCCAATATCTTAACCACTTAGCTATCCAGCATCTTTCCAAGGTATATCACTTTTATACATACATTTTTCAAACATGAAATAAACAAACATTTTTTCTTAAATAACTTATAATGAAATTCATTAATGCTTAATAATTATGTGAAACATTTTCAATTAGTGCATAACTTTACCATAAAAATCAGTAGTATCCAAACTACAGTCCCTGTGCCAAATCCAGCCATGAGACAAGTTAATCGCGCCTATGAACATATTTGACACAACACTTACAGACTGTTCAAGTATTACATCAGCAGTTTATGGAGAAGGAAATTCGTATCTGACAATTGCTGACAATGAGGGAGGGAGGATGAATTTTTGTTGACATCATTTATTTTTCTCCCCATTCATCACAGAATTGTCTGAACATTTGGTCTGATGACAAAATTAGGGAGAAAGAAGTATCTTAATTTATGATGATTGATGATGATGGAGAAGGGCAGATTAAAAAAAATTGCAAAGTTTTGCTGACGTAATACTTGAATGAATCTTATAAATGATTGAAATAGACTTACTTTTTTATATATGGAATATACAAAATTGTGGTCCACATATATATGAAACATTTCAAAACCTTTAATTAAAATTCTTAACTGGTCCTATATAAATATGTTAAAGACAAATGTTTTCTATCTATATATAAGATTTGCTTCAGCTTTATTTTTTTTTCTCCATTCTATATTGGAATATTTGAAAAAACAATGACAAATTACTCAACATATATAAAGGTTTTGAAATGTTTCATTCACTTACATGACCAGTGTTGCAAAGAAAATTTTGTCCACAGTTATACCTGCCAATTAAAAAAGTTTGGCACCACTGCTTTCTAATATTGGTATAAGTTAGTATCTAGCTAAAGATACTGAATATACTTACACTAAATGCCAAAGTTCTGGAATATAATTGAGAATTATGTTTAGCAACATGAATTACAGTTCTAGGAACTTTATCTGCTTGTTCACCTTTAGCAGAATTAGATTCACTTGATGATGATGATTCACCTGAAAAAAATATAAAATTTACAGGAAACTTAAGAGAATCTTATAATTATATCTATTTCTCAGATGAGATATATAATTTAGCAAAGTAATTTCAACTTCTTCATAAATTATAAAGATTAATATATTTCTATACTACAATATGAAAATATATAAGAAACGGTTTTATTTTAAATTATGCAAATATTTTACTTTAAAATCATTTATAAGTTATGGAAAATATATACCAATTATTTTATATTCAACAGTGTGCATGTGAAAATTAAAATCAGTAAATTGATTTATTGAAAGTATTAGCTAATACTTTCAATAAAGGCCAAGGCTAGCCAAAGGCCTAGCTAATACTTTTAAGAAATATTTCTAGTAAAACCTATTGCCTTCTCAAAAAACTTAAACACAATTGATTAATTAGAAATAATCTTTGCTGATTATAAGAAAGCATTATATGACTCAGTTATAAAAGAAACTTTATATGGCCCTCTACTTCCATCTGATGGGCATAAAGAGCATCTACAAGACATTTTTCTACTGTTAACATTTTGAAATCCTTTCAGGCTGCAGCAATGAACATAAATTTTCAATTTAATTAATACACATTATAAAAAACTAGGGGAGCTGCACCCTCTCATCCCATGGAAATTGCCTACTTGTTCAAAAAGTTTATAAGGATTCATTGATTCCTAATGCTGCCATTTCTATTTGTTTTTCCTGAGCTGCCATAAGTGGCTCAATCCCCCCACTCACTCTGTTCTCTCACTCTATGGACTTCGATTCCTTATTCCCAGTATAGCCAATTCATAATGAAAATTATGTAGATTCAATTCCCAGTGTTGTCATTTCTATTGTTTTTTTCTGTTGCAAAAAAAGATGATTTTAAGCAAAATATTTCATATATGTAGAATAGATAAATTCAGCTGGACTTGTTTATAGAGCACAAGTTATTCTCTTAAAGACTAAAAATTTATTTCCCATCAATATTAATCAATAGTATAAAATATTCAAAAATATTTAATTGCATATTTTCATACTAATATTTGATTTAAAATCTTTATCTCAAAAAAATCAATCTGTCAAAAATAAATACAAGTTTAATAAAATTACCAAACACTAACCTTATTATTAAGTTTCTTTCATTAGAATGGTAAAAAATTAACACAAACAAATGCATTTCTTTGTGTTAATTTTTACCATTCTGCTGAAAGAAACTTAAGGTTATTGTGTTTGTTTTTTTTATATACATGCTTGGTATGGAAGAGTGAAACATTTAAGTTACATGATTATGCTATATTCTTATTTTTTAAGAATTTAGTTGTTTAATTTTGAATATAAACATCCAAACTAGATAGTTATATATTAAAGCCAAATTTGGCAATTGTTTGACTTTAATATATAATTATCAGATTTGGATGTTTATACAGTAGAGCATCAATTATCCAACTCAATTGGAAACTCAGGTTGGTCGGATAACTGAAAAAAATAGGATAACCGAAAAAAATGCATTATTAGTATAGTATATTAGTATATCCCATGTAATTAGTATATTAGTATATCGCTATTAACCAACTTTGCATTGAATTCTCTTTGATGTTAAGCCTAACAAATTTTTTTAAAAATAATAATTGTCGCTATTATATTATTAAAAATTATTTTATTGCTCACAAAATAAACAACCACTCATAATTAGAAAATTAAGTCTCGTTTAAATACTGGCCTCCCTTCAATGGTCGAACCGTGTTGCCAGCTAAAACACGCAAAAATTTAACAAAAATAATATTAAAGTAGCCAAGACATAGCCAAATATTGTAGTGCTACATCACTACAATAGCGGACATTTGAAATTTGCCAAGTAGAATGGTCGGTTAACCGATGTGATGATTAATCAAGGGTCGGATAATCGATGCTCTACTGTATTTGTATACATATACCATCCCAAGGTAGATGTGATAGCCAGCTGCGTGCCATAGTGTGAATTACAGGCTGTAGGTGCTGAGTTGTTTCCAGCCAGTGATGTAAGTAACTTAGTATAGTTAATAATAATAATAATAGTTTATTTGACATATAATTCAGTACAATATCAAAGGGGGGAAAACAAAACAATAAATTCGCTTAACTTAAACCATCTAATTTCTTTAACATCTTGTTAAATTCGAACAAATCCAAGAAATATGAGTTAAAACCACCACGCAACATTCTTAAGTATTCCCCGTACATATCATATCCACAATTGCTAAACATATGGTAGCACCAATCACTGTAACTACAGATCTGGTTGCAAATCTTACATATCAAAGAAGCACTTCGCGACATATAACAGTTTAACCGCAGTTTCGCAATCTGTTTTTTCATCGCAATTGAGATTCTAGCATCCCTTAAATATCCTGCCATGCCAAAATCCGGTTTAACCGGGCGATAATATCGCAGCAACCCAGAACTATTCAGCACATTATTCATATTCTGTAGTTCTAGTTCTATGCATCTCATAACTATAGACGGTATTCGTTCTTTCCATCTATCAATTTGCTTCTCGGTGACCATATCACCGAAGCCCAACCGTTCCAGCCAATTTTTGAAATCCAGCCACCATGAATTACTCTCCGCTTTCATCCACATTCTTTCGATACTGATTCTAGGTAGCCTATCTCTAGGCAATTCCAATATTCTTACATAATATTTTAGAACTGCTTTTATAAAAAAGATTTTCAGTGGTACCCGACCAGTTTCCCATAAAACAGCCACATTCGATGCGTGATATCTGAGGCCCAACATTTTCTTCAAAAATTCTCTATGAATTAACTCAAAATTATTGGCATTAGCCAAACCCCAGACCTGAGCACCATACGACATAACGGATTTAACTGTTGTATCAAACAGCCTGAGATGTGGAGCATATGAAGCCAGTCCTGGGATATTAGCAATTTNGGATCTGTGGTCGATCAAAACTTGGCAGCTCCATCGTGATAACGCATCCGCCCATTCTGCGCATCTGATTCGGGCTTTCGTCGCCAAACATAACACTCCTGTGGTTCGTCACACTCCGTACTCTCCCCATATGGCTCCGTGTGACCTTTGGCTATTTCCCAAGCTGAAAATGCCGCTAAAAGGAACCCGAATTTAGTCGAGAGAAGACATCGTGCAAAATCCGACGGACCGGCTGATGGCCATTCCAAAAGATGCGTTCCAGCAGTGTTTCCAGCAATGGCAGGAACGCTGGGAGAAGTGTATACATTACCAAGGAGACTACTCTGAAGGGGATTAGGGTTTTGTACCTCAAAGTCAATAAATTTATTTTTACCAACCAAAGGTCCGATACTTTTTGAACAGACCTTGTAATTCCACACAATAGTATAATTGTTGTATTATTATCCATTAGTCTCAACTTTTGTCATTAATTTGCAGCAAAATATAAATTAAACTTATAATAGAAAATAGTTGATATGAAATATTATAACAAAATAAAGATACAGGGTGTATGAAAAGTTACTGTGTTGTGAGAATTTGTAATGACATCAGAGTTATATATACATCATTGCTTAAGAGATATGTAAAAGTTGTATGCAATATTGTATATGTAACTGGTACCAAGTGGACAGATTACAGGTTTCTTATGCAATGAGATATGTATAATTTTAATGTCATTACAAATTTCTCACTGCACAGTATTCAGACACCATTAGGGAATTCGATCCCGGTCCTTATTTCTAATCCCGGGATTTCGGGATTATACTTAGTCAATCCCGGGATCCCGGGATTATTTCGGTATTGAGGGTTAATAAAAAATAAGAAAATCTTATAGAAATCAACATATTTTACAGTATACACCTAGCTAATTTAATCACTCTAACTAATCAGACTCAGAGTCAGACTAACCAGACTTAAAATCATTCAGTCTTCATGTTAAATTTATTCTTTTTTAAGCATCACTGAGATCTCTTTAAACTCACATAAATTGAAAAAACCTTTATGTAACAAACTATGCAAATAAACGTTGAAAATTAACAAAAATCTCTCTTAACATCGACTAAATAGACTACTTTCATATAGCAACCTAGTAAGAAGGTAGTAAAGTAAGTTTCTTAGCTAAAAGTATTTAAAAATAATATTAATCAGTCACATTTTTCTTAAATATAAAGAAAACTAATCTAATAGGAACATTCTAATTTGAATTGCGAAAATATGATCTGAGAAATAACAACGCATCCTGTGTCTCATCACCAAGTCTGCTTCTCAATTTGTTGCACATGTATGCAGCTGATGAGAAAACGCGTTTAGGTTTGATGGAAATTGGAGGAATCGTTAGTAAATACTTATAAGCCCGTTCTAGTTATAGCTTCGAGGACACGGGGAGGTTGGAAGAAAACAGTCTGGTCGACACAGATCGGGATTGTAGGAGTAAAGGCTACAATCCCGATTGTTTCGATCATTGTAAGCATGCCTTTCTAAAAATAAACACGTTAATTTTGTAAATTCGGTCTCTGTGTGAGTCTCTCAGCATCCAGCAAACCACTACTCCCAAACGTAAAAAGACTTTCTCGCATCATCCTGACAGATCACGGGCAAGGCGGGGGTCGTAACCTTTTCACCTAAGGTCGACCCCCCTAAGCGAGAGGCGTCGGGTCTATATTAACCACACTGGCAAAACAAGATGGCTGACACATTGACAGGTAAAACGCACTGAGTAGTGCTCTCGACTGCGCCAGAAAATCGATTGGCGCCCGCGAAAATTCAAAAATACAAAAATGAAGTATATTACCAAGTAACCCAGTGAGAACTGCTTGCCTATCATTTTAGTTGAAAATACAAGAAGTTTTATTCCAAGCAAGCATCGCAAGCCCGCTAGGTTAATTTCTGCTGCTTGCTTGGAATAAAATTTCTTGTATTTTATATTAAAATGATAGGCAAGCAATTCTGTTAAAAGCACTGGCACTGAACTTTTCACTTCATGCAGTTTATTTTGCAACTTTTTTTAAAATGATGTCAATCCCGAAAATCTCGGGATTAGGAAAACTTAATCCCGAAAATTTTGGGACTGAAAAGTGGTCGGGATCCCGGGATCCCGATTTTCGAGATCCCGGGATCAAATCCTCTAGACACCATGTATACATATATCTTTGATAAACCAAGAATATCTAATCTCATGGGCATCTGTTGTTGCAAAATCACAAAAATAAAAAAACCATAATTGGAGATTGACTTAGAAATGGATTATGCTCCAAACATAATATCCAAAATGTTTAAGGAGGTATGCAAACTACTCCACATTAAGAGATTCCTTATGTCAGCACATCATCCAGCATGTAATGGGATAGTCAAAAGGTTTAACGAAACATTTACTGATATTATATCGCACTATGTTGCCAAGGATCAATGAGACTGGAATTAATGGATTCCCTATACATTATTTGCATATAATACTACTATTCATGCTTCTATAGACAACAGCATATTTTTCTTACTGTATGGAAGAGATCCAACCTACCCTTTTGACCTCATTACCCATCTGACTTGGACTAGGTATGATATACATGATAATTTCACATCTGATCTATGCCTTCAAATGGCAAATGTACACCAAATAGTGCAAGAACAGGTTGAACAAGCTGCTAGAGAATGCTAAAAACATCATTGAACTCATAAACTAAATTCTTAATGAAGTAGTCGTACCCCAAGGGTTAAAGAGAAAACTAGCACCTAGATGGTCAGGCTCTTTCCAGATTATAACCGAACTGAGCCCTGTCACCTTTATAACAGAAAATATCCATATGAAGAAGTGAATTCAAGTTTATGCTAACTGCTTAAAACATTTCACAGCCTGACAAGAATTCAAAAGGACAGAGACTCTAGATTGATCTAATACTCAGATTCCAACAACACCTGAATCATTATCATGAGATGTTCCATCTACAGTAGATCTGTGGAACAAATTTATTTTAACAGAAATTCAACAACAACTAGAAGTAGAATCTGAATTTGAGACAGAAATTGAAAGTAAGGAAGATGACGAAACAGAACCTTCCACTGCAGAGGAACAAAGAGAATCAGTGCCCTTGCATTCTATGCTTTGAGAAGTCAAGGGCCAGTGGAAGAACAATCCTAGATCCCGCTGCCTCCCCCACAAAGTCAAATTCCTAAATTTGTCTCTCCTTTGACAAGCCAATCCTCCAATGGAGAAAAGAAGTCAAATCTAGTCAAAAGGAATGAGATAAAAAAGGAGGCCTATTTCAAGAGGAGGAAGAGAAAGTTGATCCTGACCCTAATTTCCATGTGACCGAGAGAGAGAGAGAACCTTTGACTGATTTGTAAATAGGGCACATGCTTCGTAAATAATTCTCGTGGTGGACTTTATATGCTATAGGTGGTTTCACATGTGATGTTTATTTGATGCTGTATTATTTTTGATGTAAATTTATAATATTCTCTATATTATTGTAAAGAGAGAAAGTATTTTCAAATTTGTAACTCCTATTTGCACATTATATATGATCTCCGTGATGGATTTTATGTACAGTACACTATGTCTACTTGACGCAGTATTACTTTTAAAGTAAATTAATATTCTTTATGTATTCAAATGAGAGAGAGGATATTTTATGGACCATTTGCCATCCAGGAATCTTTTGTAATCACCTCACCAACAAAAAATTGAGTTTGCTCTTTTGAGGAACAAGCACAGTTTTGGAAAGGTTTGGGTGATGTGAGAATCCGGACTTCAACCAAATGTAACACGATTTTGTTATATATATTTTGATAATTGTCATTTGATATTTGTCTACTACTATCTGTGAACTTCTCATTTTACATGTTCTTGACAGCAAAAGTGACACTTTTCCCCGATCTTTTAACCTCTCAGCCATATGCTACTGATTTTAATATAAGAATTGATGGCCCGATGAGGCAGTTATTGCCAGCTCCTTAATACATCACGTTTGTGCAGTACTGCCTATCTGGATTAACTTTGTTGCCAACAATTTTCTTAAGTGTCCCATATTTGGATTAACTTTAAAACCGACCCATGGAAAAAAATACATTTCATCTCTACTCCCAGGACAAGGAAATTACTACATTGAATACCTCATCCCGAACTCTTATAAAGTGCCAACCTTCTCCCATGTTTCATCATCAAAAGAGACTGATCGAATCCTCTCCTGTCTCTGGTTTACCAGCTGATCAACCAACTTCAGGTATTTATGTCTATGTGCAATATCATGTAAACTCTCTCTCTTTCTCGCAACCACCTATGGTATATAGGTCAATTATTTTGACACATTGTAATGTATATATCATGTAACCTTTTTTCTTTTCAATTAGATACTAGGTTTAACAAAAATATTATTATTTGAGTGCATTACTTCTATTGAGCTGTCTCATCATCCTCCACCCAGAATCTGATCACTGATGCACACATTTTCTAATAAAAACAAATCACAGTTGCAACTTCTGTGTTAAATGGGACACAATGGTGTCATCCTGACATGGCATCGAAGAGGTGCCACTCTCTGATCATATAACCATACTGTTCTTGAACTGAAAATTTCATACACTTGTATGATCAAACATGCTATAGAGCCTAAAATGAGCTTAATATAGACAAATTTTGCCAAAGTAACCAATCTCTACTTATCTACAATACAGAAGTTTTAAACATAGCAATAAAACAATGTTCATTATACTAGATCATTAATTATACTAACATGAGAGATTTGTTTTACATAATTTATTAAGTGAGATTGTCAAGACACAAAATTGTTAGTTATTCTGAAAATTTCATTATTATAGAATTTTACCTGTATTTTTCTTTTAGATATGTTCAAGAATTATCTTATTAAAGTTTATTTTATATTAGTAACATGTAAATAAGGTTAAAATTATAATTTGAAACTTACTTTAAAATTTGTTTTGGGATTTGTAAGGTTAAATAGATCATTTCATTAGGCTGCAATTTGAAAAAAAATTGTAACCTATAAATTTCCACTATTGTCTCTGTCTGTCTTTTCTTAATCTTGAGAATAGAGTTAGAAAGATGAAATCTGAGACCAGTTATTGAAAGCTTAAAAGCAGGAGGCCCCAATTAACTGTATATGAATTTCTGATGCAAACAGGAAGTCATGTTATTTCAATTCAAAAATTTTCCCATGTAGGGAGTTGGTTAGAAGACAGAATGACACTGTTGCTAACAGGAAAAGTATTATGTACAGGAGCAAGATACTACTAATTTGAGGTAAAGAGCATATATTTTAAATTAAAAAATATGATAAAAAATTACAGCCTGGCATTCTGACAGTCACAATAAATAATTGCTCGTTTTATATGTTAATTTACATAGATACTACAGAACAAACTTAATTATATTACTTGAATTACTTAGAAATTTTTCTTATTATTGAAACTATTTAATATCCTTAATAAATTTCCTAAATTACTGAATATTAGATAATTAAATTTATGGTATTAAAAAAGTTAAGATCTATTTTTAGATAAATATATCATTTGCTATTCCAATTTTAAAAATTTCCTTATATATTTAATATAATAAAGTCTTGTGTACAAACCTAAAGGACCCATTTCAGAAATTAAAGATGTTGCTGGAAGAAATAAATTTGTGGTATTGTTAGAATCCATTTCCCTTTTATTATCAACCTGCTCTTCTAATTTTAATAACAAACTTAAAATTGCTTGTTTATCTTGATGAACTTTATTTTGTAAGACAGTAAATTCAGCTTGTTGTTGTGAAATATAAGACCTTAAAAATCAATAAAATTCATTAATAAACTTTGAAGTTAATTATAATCCCAGTTAATAGCAAATCTGTTATTTTTATATTAAATTTACTAGAAGTAAATTTTTAGGAAAAGTATTATATAGCATTTTTACTGAAGATTTCATTAAAACATTCATTAAGATGACAATAAAACTAAATTATTATTATTATTATTATTATGTAGCTTATTGAGTATAATCTTAGTCTGAAACAAAATCAAAGATTTTAAAAATAGGAATATTTTAATTATAATAGCTCAATGGTATGTAAAAAATATTTTTAAAAATTTAGACCCTACATGTATTTTTTAAATGTATATATTATAATACAGGGTACAGCAGGGCTATTTGAATAATTCTAAGCTTTCTGCATGCATTGCAATGTAAACACTGATTTAAAACCATTTTGTGAGTAAGTACTGTTAATGGTAATATAGTCTGGTTAATAAAGAATTTATTTGGTTTGTATCTTCAAATAATTTTTTTGGATAATTTAAAGTATGAAAGATAAATGTTTCATTTATACTCATTGCTGAGTTTATAAAGTTTATATGTTGTTTGTTAAAGACTGTATGCAGTTGGTAAGAAATAAAAAAATTGAATTGCATTCTGATGTGATAACCTGACGTTCTTACACCACATTCATGATTAATATTGACATCCATTAGTATTTCGGGAGAACCAGGCCACCATCATGTTTAAAGGCTATTTGAGGTTATTTGAATAACTGAAAATGAGCTATTTGAATTCAACAAATAGCCCATTTTATACAATAGTGAGGGTCTATCATCTTTGATCTATTTCAGACGGTCAGACACTATAAAACTATATATGAGAAATAATGATGACTGGTTTGAGTGGGATAAGGAGTCTGTGAAAAAAATAACTGAAGCAGTAGTTTAAGAGAAATAATACTGAAATCTAGTAATATGTTTTCAGTTCCATTCATAAGTTTGTACCACCAATATTAAAATAAAAACATAGTGTGAGATAAGCAGTGGGTCACTGGTTAAGTCCCGATTGACCACTTACTCTGCACGGGCAGGTAAGGCCCGATCTCGGATCGTCGGATGGCTAGGAGGGCAAATCGAGTGGCTAGGGAGGTGAGCAAGTCGGCAGGCGTCCTTTAAATCAACAGTGGGCAACCCCCGGCCCGCGGGCCAGCTACGGCCCGCGAAAAGTTTCTATCCGGCCCGCGAGATGTTTAGAAGAAATTATAAATAAATATTTTTCGATGTAATTCGTCTAGTTTAAATTGAATATTATTTTCTGAAGTGTTGTGACAGCAATGACAGGAAAAAATAAGGGAGTCATTTCCTTATTCAAACAAAAAATGGGAGAACAGAATTTTTCTAAATTATTTATATCTCATCGCGTCATCCATCAAGAAAATCTATGTGCAAAAGCTATGCAATTAGAAAATGTAATGTCTGTCGTATCCAACTATATAGGGCTGTTTTTATTGTGTTTAAAGTCACTTAGATTTTACAAATAGGTGAGCCGTTCACAGCCTGGCACACGCATTTGTAAAATCTAAGTGACTCATACAACATGGAATTCATATAAAACGGAATAATCAACAGTGTTATAGGGGGGTCGACTGTAGTAATTAATTTCTTTTTATTTATTTATTTATTTCTTTTTATTTATTTATTTATTTCATATTTGCAGACTAAAAATTTACAGGTCACAAGGTGTCAATTAACTACTATGGCCCGCGGAAAAAACGTAAAATTTATTCTGGCCCATGTTATAAAAAAGGTTGCCCACCCTTGCTTTAAATGACAGGTGACAGGTTAACAGAATAACAAGCATTTATTGATTACCTAAAGCTACGTTACAAGAATACTAAGGTTAAATGCGGTTATATTAAAATATATACAGAAATTCGAATTCGAGAGAGAGCACTTTTACAAATTCTAACCCCTAAATGCCTCTCGGCGGAAGGGAGAGTTGGCGAACGTTGTCTGTATGAAAGGGTGTGGTGTCTTCCGTGTCTTCTTGCCAATGTCCTCTCTCTGTAGCTGGATCAAGTCCGCTGTATGGAGGTTCGGGAGTCGAGGTGGGCACTATCACAAAGTATAACTTCCTATGACGAATCGCCCTGAGCTTCCGGAGATTCGAACTTTTATATCATTAGCGTGGGAAAACTGTCACGTGATTGACTTTTGTTGACAATGACGGTGCATTCTTCACACCTAACTGTAAACTTTCTCAGCTAGCTGTTATACAATCGGTGAAATTCGATCTAGTTCAAATTCTTCAGGTTTTTTCCAAAGACAATTAACAGAAAATTTGGATTTTTAAAAAGCCCGTAAAAATCCGTGGGCTCACAATAGTAATATGGGAATTAATGATTTTTTACCACAAAAATATTCATGTGGTTACTCTCTTCACCATCCTAGCATTTAGCAGGTGCTTTTTTTTCCATTTTTCACTAATATAGTAAAATATTTAGATAAAAGAGTGTTTGGATGGCAAAAAAAATGTAATACTTGTTATAATGAATATTCTGTCACACAAAAGTTCACAAGCAGTTTATTTGTGGATACTGCAACCTGTGAACCTTTCAAGAGTTTATAATTTTGTTTTTAATAGAAAACAATATTTATTATTCTATATCATTTTTCATGGAATTGATTTAAGTATCTGTTTTATTACATGAATCCAAACTGTCCTGCTCAATTCAGGTATTTTTACAATGAGAAGGTAAAATGAACAATAGCATAACAGTTTTCAATGTAATAACTCTTTCATAAAGTGGAAGGTTATATACATAAAAATCGTACTGTATACTTAAAAGAAAACTACTGCACATAGTTTTCCAGAAAATTTTAATGAAATTTAAAATTATTCATATAGCCCTGATGTACTATATATATTGGCACCATTAATTTATTGAATATACATTGCTACATATACATAGTACTAATACTGGTAACTGTCTGCTACAGTAATAAGTAACCATTAAGGCCTTGTAAAGACTAAGGCATTAGCTATAACATAACAGCAACCCAAGTCAAGCACCAGAACATGCTCAGCATTGTGTGCAAGACTCATAGTACCAGAGTGTAACAAAATGTGTTCAGTACTTGGTTTGGAGACTTCCTTTTAAAGGTGGTCTCACATCAAAACAGCAAAAAAATGGTCATCAGGACTTAATTTGGGGTCTTGAGTGTAAATATCATCCTTCATAACAGTGTTCTGAGCAGTGATATCAACACACTTTCCTCCCTTCTTGCTACTATCTCTGACTCACTGTTTTGATACTTTAGAAGGTTGTCATGACTCAGATCTCAAGGCCAGAAAAGGCCAGTAATTAGACAAAGCACCAAAGTGAGCAATGGTTTGCTCAGGTGATTTGTTATGTTATAGAAAAATTCTCTATAGCCTGTACAGGGCTTAAGGTTATATTAATATATAATATCTAATGACATATTTGATAGACTAATAATAATCTTTCCTAAATTAAGAAAAAGAATTAGCATAAAATTATTAATTCTCTTTAAGGTTATGAATTTATATATAATGAAAATACATACATTATAATTAAATTAAGACTGTTTTATCTTACAGTTAAACCTACATTAAAAATTTTTATTATGTAAAAGATTTTTATATTACAAATACTTTAAATAACTTCATATTTTTTACCTAATTCTTTCTTCCATTGATTGCTGTTCATGATGGAGATATGAAGTCACTTGTTGATGGACAGCCATAACTGCTGCTTCTAAATGTTTATTCTGAATTGCACATTCAAAACCTTGTAAAAATTTATATTAATTTAAAATGTTTTTAAAGGAAAAAATAAAATTAAAAGTATTTTTTAAAATTTTAATTAATAAACCTTATTAATTATTGTTATTTTATGTAAAATATGTTTATTCATTACATAAAAACAGACAAACATGCTTAATTTATACCTCTTAATTCTAAATTTAAAGACTCTTTCAAAAAATGAATATAAAATGTCAATATAAAACAAAAATAATATTTTGCATTTATTTGTTTATTCCTATTTTATTCATATTATTAATTTTATTTTCAGTATATAACAACAAAATTAACTGTAAAATAAAAATTTCACTTAATTGAAATTTAAAATGAGTTTCATATTATAATTAATTAATAGTAATATTTTTATGTATCATTTTGAATGATGTAACCAGAGATTAAATTGTATAAGTTAAAATTGTATGAGGTACCATTTAAAGAGATTTTCTTAAAAAAATGACTTAATTATTTCAAAAAAGTGAAAAAGACAACTTTGAGTGTAAAGCTGAGCTTTTAAAATATTGTAAATGCCTATAATGAGTAAAATTTCCATAAGTTCAACCCACTTGAGATATGACAGGTGATTCCCCCCTCTATCTCCTCACCACCTTGACCTTTAACCACCAAAATTTAATACCATCAATGCCTCACATATAGAAATAATTCTACCAAGTTTCAAAATTTTTAGTTTATCCAATCTTGAGATATAATGAAAAATAGACAACCTCCCCATACACACAGAATTTTGTAAGGGTGTTTTGCACTTTTGGTATATAATGTCATTGAAAAGTGGGATGCCAAAATTTCACCCCTCATCATACTTTTGTTATGTTATATTCTACAATGACAGGAGAAGTAAAATTAATATAAACCCAACGACGAATTTCCAGGAAGGTTAAATTTCAGTAAAAACATTTATTCTGTTAAATTTAACCTTGCTGCAATTTCATGGTAGCGTTTATATTAATGTGAAGCTTTATAGCATAAATTATATCTATTTTTTTTTAATATGAAAACATAATGGCACAATGAAATCTATATTTATGAAAGTTTTGTCAAATATACATACCACATGCATTTTCATTTCCAGACCTATTTGTAATAGGAAGCAACATTTTAAATAATGGTGAATAATTAGGTTTTTCCATAATAGCTGTAATCCTTTCCTTATCACTCTGTAAAAAACATTTAGAAAAATTTTAATATATGATTATAATAATTCTCTCTTCTTTAATAAACTATAAAAACATTATGTAGCTTAATAAATGTTAGGTAATAAAGAAAGAATAATTCAATAAGTGCACTAAAACTAAAAATCTAGCAGCAAAATACACTTTAATAAGTAAACATGTTTTCAATTGTCAAAAGCAGTCATTATTTAGTGCAGAAATGTACCATTATCTCCGTAACAGCATGGACAATAATTTATTTGTACTAATATATGCATCACACATTACAATCCAATAAAATTAATATTCCTTCTTTTAAAAAATTGTGTTCTAATTACAATCACAAATCGAAGTTACTAAATTAAAACCTGATAATGACTGTTTAAGACAGTTGAAAATACTTGTTTGCTGCTGGATTTTTGGTTTTAATGTGTTTATTTGAGTGAATAATTAATATCAAATGATATTAAAATCAATAAATTAAAACAAACTTTTAGAGTGTGATAACAGTTTTTAGTGAATGTTTTCAATAAAACAACTTATCATCAACAAAAAACAAAATAATGCATTCTTTAGGGGATAGTTTTTATCACTATTCACGGTAGTGGTAAAGTGCTTATGTTAAGACTTTTGTCCATCTGTCCGATTTTCACGTGCATGCGCAATTAGGACCTTTGTGTGTCTGTTTGATTTCCACGTGCATGCGCAATGACTTCACTTTTGTTACCTAGTGTTATGTTCTGTCTATCCATTTGATTCAAACATTCAATTCAAACTTTGGATATTAGCTTATAACTTAAGCCTAAACTCGGTCAGCTAGAAATTTCCAATGTTAGGCTTAGGAATTACCTAAGTGTTATGTTCCATTCAATCCATTCATTGTACATGTTCATGCGCATATGCAAAAGGAAACTGAACCTTTTCGTTTACAGTCACTGTAAGCTATAGTAAAAACTACCTGGTTAGTATATTGTATTAAATTAAATTTTATAATAAATTTAATATAATAATAATTTTAAAAATATTTGATTCGCTTTCGTGAAACATGCTATCAGATAGGCTTGACCAGTCTTGTTAAAATATAGAATCTAAATAAACTATATTTTAAACATTATTATTTTCTCTTCAATGCAAAATTTCCAGCAAAGAAATTCTAGAAAAATTTTATAATTACAGTAGAGCATCGATTATCCAACCCCCGATTAACCGACCATTCTAGTCGGCAAATTTCAAATGTCCGCTAGTGATGTGGCATTACAATATTTGGCTATGTCTTGGCTACTTTAATATTATTTTTGTTAAATTTTTGCGTGTTTTAGCTAAAAAACATCGCTCAACCATGAAAGGGCGGCCAGTATTTAAACGAGGCTTAATTTTCTAGTTATGAGTGATTGTTTGTTTTGTGAGCAATAAAATAATTTAAAAATAAATTTTAACGATACAATAGTGACGTTTATTATTTTTAAAAAAATTTGTTAGGCTAAATATCGATGAAAATTCAACGCGAAGTTGGTTAATAGTGATATACAGTAGAACCTCGATTATCCGCCCCCCGATCAACCGACCCCTCGGTTAACCGACCGTCCTAGTCGGCAAATTTCAAATGTCCGCTAGTGATGTGGCGCTATAATATTTGGCTATGTCTTGGCTACTTTAATATTATTTTTACATGTTAGCTGGCAACACTCATTCGACCATGAAAGGGAGCCAGTATTTAAACGAAGCTTAATTTTCTAATTTTTAACGATACAATAGCGACGATTATTATTTTAAAAAATTTTTGTTAGGCTTAACATCGATGAAAATTCAACGCAAAATAGGTTAATAGCGATATACTAATATACTAATTACATGGGATATAATAATATACTATACTAATAATGGATTTTTTCATACTTTTCGGTTATCCGACTTTTCAATTATCCGACCAACCCCAGTCCCCAATTAGGGCGGATAATCGAGGTTCTACTGTATTAATAAACTAATTACATGGGATATATTAATATCCTAATATACTATACTAATATAATATCAACTGCACATCGGGTTGTATACAATACAATAAATCTGACTTACAGAACCTGTAACCGATGCGTATCACTTGTTCCTTCAACAATCAAACATTTTCATAACCCCTTCTGGGTTCTTCATCAGGATAGCAGCTGGATCGAATAGCAAACAACGAATTCAAGAAGTTTGAATAAATCCGAACTTCATAGATTTATTGTATACTATACTAATAATGTATTTTTCCCTTCCTTTCGGTTATCCGATTTTTTCAGTTATTCGGCCAACCTGAGTCCCCAATTGAGTCGGATAATCGATGCTCTACTGTATTTAAAAAATTTACAAGCTCAATTGCATTGAGGTGTAATTTCTTATCTACATGTACAGTTCCAGTTTTCTGGTATTATTATTATTTTCAAAGTGCAAAGATTCTTATAAGTAAAGTTAAGTTAACAAAAGTATTTACCAATAAACTAAAGCAGATTCCAAAACTCTGCTATGTGATGACAGTTTATTTATTGATTTTAACATCTTAGTATGATTAATTATTCTTTCTGTATTATTTACATTGCAGTGTTCTTTATATTAGGAAATAAAATGTTAAAAGTTATCAAACATACTTTAGACACATGCTTTCTTAATGAAATAAACATTTTTGAATTGCTTGACGAATCGTTTTCAAAATGTATAATATTGTAACATACAGACAATCATTAAATAATGTTTAAATGATTTAAAATAGAATGTAAAAATTAAAGATGTAAATTTTTCAATGAATTTTCAAGTTTTATTTCCTATTCTAAATCTTGAAGCAGTATTCTGATTTTATGTAACTTGAAGATGATTTGACAAACAAATTGAAAAGCATTTCTTTCATTAAATTTTGGTAGATAATTTTGTTAGATAGCAGTAATGCATTTCTATAAGCATACTGTAATAACCAGAACAAATAAAAGTAACTTAAAAGTATGTAAATAAATAAATTATATAATTGAAGAAAGAGGGAATTTTTTGATTAAATATAATATATTTTAGAACTTAAAAAGATAAAATAATTTTACAATAAAAAAGCTCATTCTAGCTTTTTGGCTACAAATTATTTCTATAATTACACTAAAACTTTTTCTTGAAGTCAGAAAATTTTATTAAACAAAAAGTTTTCAGAAAATTATTTCACTTTTATGTATGAAAATCTATTCTTCCTTTCATAATGAAAGAATGTGACTGATAAAATATTTCCCAGCTTATACCTCGTTCTTCTAAAGGCTGCTATACACCATGGGTTAATCCTTCGAGACTGCCTGTCCTTGAGGAACTTCAGAATTTTTTATTGCCCACAAACGAAGAAAAGCTCTCAATAGAGGTGTAGCTAGAGCGGGGGAAGAAGGGCACGTCCCCCGGTAGCCACTCGCAGAGGGGTACCAAATGGTCTCCAAGACAAACGTTTCTGGAGGGGAGGGGGCGAGGGAGGGGGTCGCAAATATAGTGTCGTACCTCGGGAACCAGTTATGTTCGCTACGTCATTGTCAATCAGTCAGTCAGTCGGCCATTTAAAATACAAAGAACTAAATAAAATGCTTAATTTTTCGTCTTATTTTATTGTTAAAAATTTAAGCTTACCTTAACAATTTGAAGTACCACAACTTTGGTACGTATATCTCATCAGTTCCTGCTCCCGATTTGATTGATGCTTTAACTTTTTTCATTTCTTTTCTGTATGCGCTTCTGATATTGTTTATTTTTTTTATAACGCTTTCTTTATCGGCCTTTGGTTCCATTTCTTTTAGTTTTTCGATTAAACGGAGATAAGCAGCTTCTTTCTTGCGTCTATTGTAGTATTCTTTATTTTTAATATGCCAAAGGCATGGTTCGCTCTCGTAAATTTTTAAAAATTCCTCCAAATTTTCACGTGACATTGTTCTAACTACTGAACGATATACGACGGCACACACGTTTTGGTGGGTCTACTCAGTCTGACACACCGCAGGAAAATCAAATGGTTTTTCGATTCTACTGAGGTGGTCGGCGAAGCTGTTAAATTGTACCCCATAAACTATCAAGAACTATAAAGGTCAGGCATGCATGATTACTCCTTTGAGGATTAACCTAATGAATACGGGCGTTTCTACTCAGGTGGTCGGTAGAGTTTGCCGAAACTGTTAAATTTTCCCCCACACATTTCCAGGAATGATTAAAAATCAGGCATGCATGGTTACTCCTTCGAGGATTAACCCATGGTGTATAGCAGCCTTAACAGTAATAAGAGGTATATGTTATGCATCTGTTACATACAAAAGAGAAAGTTTCCAAATAGAAAAACAAAATTCTTGTTTGTGTCTGAAAACATTCTTGTTTTATAAAAGTTTCCTACATATTAATTTGAACTTTTTTTAGAATTACATGTTATTGAATATATTGTTTATATACTGCATGGGCAAAAAGTTTTCAGAAAATTTTCACTTTTATAATGGCAACACTGAGAAGATGTGTACGGTGATAGTGTACAACACTATTTATTTCTCTGTTCAATACACAGGATGAAGTTTGACAGTGCATTGAATTTTATAGACATATATCCAATCAATCACTTGAAATGCATTGCATTCTTTTGACAGAAGTCAAGAGGAATCTTTATTTTCCTTTTTCAACTCTCTCCACCCACTGGGCACTAGACGACCTTTTTAGCAAGTCCATTATGGGTGTGATCTGGCTAAACCCAGATCTACAATGGGGCCCAATATACCCAGGCAGACCACAACTGAAAAAGTGTTTGACCCTTCCAGGTTTGATGCTGGGTCTCCCAGAATGGTAGGCTGCCACCTTAACCATATGGCCATCCAGCCAGAAAGAATCTGAAATTTGTGAATGCTGGCTGTTTAAATGACTATCTCAGAGAGGTGTGCAAATGGATAAAATGCTTTTGGAAAGGAAAAGATGTGAATCAATTCATGCAAATGATTATTTGTTGTTTTACTGCACTCACAGATGAAAATTCTAAGTGAATACAAAACATTGTATTGTGTGATTGATGTGTAAAAACAAAAAAAAAAAGAATTGCAGAGTATTTGGGTATCAGAAGGTAGCATTCTCACAATTTTGCATGAAGATTTAAAGATACAAAAACTTCATTCCAAAGTTTTTGACAGTGGAACAAAAACTGCAACATGTGCTTGCTGCTGTGACTGGATTTTAGAGGAAATGATGATAACCATCTGGAATGAGTAATAGCAGATGGCAAATCATAGATTTACAGGTACAACCCAGAAAGTAAATAGCAGAGTGAACAGTGAATGGGAGAGAGAGACTGACAAAAAGAGAAAAACTTGACTGAAAATTATGGTAATCATTATTTTTGGTTTTTGACATTTGAGATAGCTCATGTACTACAAATTTTTTCCAGACAATCAAACAGTTCATTCTGCATTCTATGTGGCTATCTGTAAGTGACTGAAACCAGAATTGTATAAAGAGAATCAGGTTTTGCACAACATGCACCAGCACATATGTTTGTTACTGTAAGGGTATCTATCAGCCAGAATGCTATGACAGTACTTGATAATTCTTACTTCTCTGGCTTAGTATCATGCAATTTCTTTGTTCTCCAAACTCAAACATGTGCAGAGAACCCATTACCAAGAGATGCAGATGATTAAGAAAGAATTGTAATGAGTGCTGAAACCATAGTTGATGCTATGGACCAGCACCACTTCCATGTGTGAAAACAGAGGTAGATTAAGCATTTAAGTGTGAAAAAAAAGTATTTTCAAGGGAACTATGTTGATATACTGTAAAATAAAAAAATTATCTAGCAAGATTCCATGAACGTTTTGCCCACACCATGTATATATACATCAATAAACAGTAAAATTTTACACTGTGCATTTCAAAAAATGAACAATAATTAAATAAAGTTTTATTAAATAAATAATTTAATGATTCTGATAATTTGGTACTACAGTTAGTTGCATCATTATCTAGTAAAAAAAATTAATAATTAAATAATTTGTTTAAATTTTAAATATGTTTTTAAATCTAGAAAAAACAACAACACATAACTGTTTTAGTTATGTATTATTTCTAAATTTAATGCATTTCCAAAATAAAACTTCATTTTGTAATGGGGTAGATATGAATGTATAAATAAAATGCACAAGGTAAATGTTATTTATTTGTAAAGAAAACACATATTATTAGCCAAAAACACATACCTTAAAGTATCCTCATTTTTTTGATAATTTTTAAACAAAAATTTCTCATAAAACTTTAGTGCAGAAATGTACGCAGTAAATTCTATTTATATAGCTAAACAATCAATCTAAGTTAAGAAATTATGGCCTTATAAAATAATATTTTATAAAAACTTTTAAATTTTCTTAATAATCAATATATTAAATGGAATGTAAAATTATAATAAATAGCTAAATTAATATAATATAGACTCTCAAGCCCAAAAAGCAAGCATAACCATTAATTTGGCTTCTATCTTGGATCCTAGTGATCAGAACAATGTGAAATTTAATTTTCAAGCAGAACATTTTAATTCTTTGTTGCATAAAGAGTACATTGTTGTAAGTCTTTTTGCACAGAAAATAATATAATGGTATGAGGATGCTTTCAAATAAGAACATCTTTAAGCTCCTTGAATGTTCTTGATGGAGGCTGAAGAGATGCGACATGTTTTCCTAGAGCATCCCATGTTCCACGGTTCTTAGGTCCTTTAAGATCTTGCTGGCCATTCAATGCAACAAATATCTTCACTGCCAAATCATTGATGAGTATAGTCCTATGTGCAAAGGCATTATTGTTCATGAAAATGAAATTTGCAGTCAAAACACCTTAAGAAAGCCTTATGTGAGGGCTCCAAAACCTTGTCTTTGGATATTGAGCAATGTTGCCCTTTCAAAAATGTGGCAATCAATGCAGCAATTAAGCATAATGCTAACACAGACTATGATACCATCTCCAAATTGAGTGCTTAGTCTAGAGTGAATAGCAACAAATGTTGTCGAGTGTCATGTGTTACTCGTTCAGTGAATGATCTCACCAAATGAGTTAGTACCACATGATATTCTCAACATGTTCATGTTGTTACTTGCATAACTTAAGATAGACACTCTGATTTCTTTTCACAATATTAATAGAAGTGCATCAAGTTTCCTACTCTCTCCAGATTATAATCTGACAAGAATCATTTTATATACTTTAGCTGGACTTATCAGTGAACAGAAAATTATCCGATTCATCCAAAGTTCAATGTTGACCTTCCTTACACCATTTATGATGGTGTAAGGAAGCTCTTCTGTGCACAATGGTCAATAGAATGCAACATACTGGCATATCTGTCAAAAAGATCATTTACTTGAAGCCTCCTGTAGACAGTCTGTTGTGAAACTCTAATACTATTCGCCATAGACAGCTCCACAGAGAACTACCTATCAGACATTCTTTTGTTAAAACACATTGTTAACATCAAATAGTAGTCCTGTTGAGGGTGGTAACTCTTGGACGATCACTTCCTGGTTGACATCCAAATCTATTTGCTACTGACCCTACTTCTAGCCTTACAATAATTCTTCCTTTCATAAAATCATCTTTGTGGCATCTTTATAACATAATCACTGTCAGTATTGTTTTAATTGAAAGAGGTTCAGATGACACACACAAGTTGGTATCCAAAAACACTATTTTTGTTCTTTACTGCTATACATAAAGTAACTGACTAGATAGCAAACAAGTTGTTTTCCTGAGTGTTAATTGCTAACACTTGTATTGACACACTAGTATCATATAATAAAACAGTAACAAGGTATGGACTGGGCTGTTTATTTTGTTTAGTTTTTACTCTATTTATGGATTGAACAGTTATGCTTATTTCTCGAACATGAGGGTAGCCTATATATAAATAATATATTTGACTTCTTATAAGTAAAAATAATCCTTTACATAAAAAATATAAGAAATTAAATTAATGGTATCCATCAGGATAACCAATGTTTTAATTCATCATTTTTATCTACATACTGCTGTAAATAAATTATTACTTATTAAGAAAAATTAAATTCTAGTAATTCTCTTTAGAAGCGTTGAACACGAGATTGTGTTCAACACTTCTAAAGAAAATCTAGTACAACACGGTTTCACAACAAATGAACAATAAATTCTAGTAAAATAAAAAATGAATTTGATCATGTGAAAGCTAGTTTTTAATATTCTAGGTGATTGTAATTAAATACACCTATTCAACACTAACTTGACAGAAGTTTAGCAGTCAAAATGCAACCAAATCTGATATATAGTGACATTTCAAGACACGTGTAAGATATTTCTGTAAAAAGTTAGTAAAAAAAACTCACCACTATGGCACTTTCGACACTGCAAGAAGCAACAATTTTACTTGTAAAAGACACTCGTGCTGTACAGAGATTTCATCAATGCAAGAGATACTACACATTTCTAAAGATGCAAAACCCAAGATGAAATATCCCCATTCTAAAGACATAAAACATATGAAAATAAAGAACAGTGAGTTCAATGTTTTTCCTTAATTGACCTCTGTGTTGCTTCTTATATGCAGTGTAATACTGTCTTTCAAGGCTTCCAAATTTACACTATGTATGTCTTCAGGTAAAACTTAAAAAGTATGGTTTATTGTCTCCACAACCAAAAAAAATCACAAAGATTAACATCACATCACTTCCAGGGCCAAAAGTGTCCTATTGTTGAGTTATAATATAATTTCTATTTTTACAAAAATGTCTTCTGTATTTCTGAAATGTCAGCATACCAAATTTGGTTGCATTTGGCTTGTTAAATCTTTCTCTAAACAGTATTAAATGGGAGTATTTTTATTACAATCATCAGTAAATTTAACATTTAAACTAAATAATTATTTAAAAAGAATTGTGGTTCTATATTATTAAAATAAAACAGAACAGTGTGATATATATTAATTAGTAATTTATTATATTAGAAATATTTTTGACTGGTTCCTGTGCAATAACTAAATACATTTCTAATAGAATAATTTTCAAATTAAATGAAATTAATTTTAAACATTAATTTTAACATTTTATATTTTAAAATTTTTCATCTGCATTAACTGGAGAATACATCAAATTGTATTGTAATACTCCATTTATTTAGTGTGTCTTCAGAGTTTTATCATACACTTTTCATGTTCTTAAATTTAACAAATAAATAAGTTTCAAATCATAATCTAGATTCAGTATTTTCTAAAATCTAAAGTTATAATATAATATGAATGAGATGTTATAAATTTATATCACATCTCAAATTTATAAAATTTTGTTACAAGAATCAACTGTTTTTTCAATAGGATTACAATTAGTAATTTATCAACCACAATCATAAAAGCAATTAGCAATGTTTCAAAATTTTTTATTAAACTGAATCAAGAACTGAAAACCTAATAAAACTCTAATTTCATATGCTTTTAAAGCATTCATTTCTTACATTTTTCTCTTACTAAAAACAGACTTATATGAACTTAGAAATGTTAAATAATAAACATTAGGTAATAAATAAATGGCCATTTGTTTAGTTTAGTTAGTGAAGAAATTATTTTGTTGAAGTTTCCCACTTTAATTAATATTTACTGTCTCGATGATTGATGTGAAGAAAGTAAAAATTAACAAATAGATTAATTGCAGATATTTATATATGAAAACAATATAAATCGTTCTATAAATATTTTAAAATGTAAAACAAATTATAGTTATTAGTTGTCCATTATCAATTGTGGAAAACTGAAATGAGATGAGACTATCCTTCAAGGTGTTAACAATTGAAAGTAGTAATAATATTTGTTCATTACATTAAATAAATTAGAATATAATGAAAAATAAATAAAACAAACCTCTAATTGCAGATTCACAAATACATTACTATCAGAATCATCTTTATGATTTGCATAACAATCCATTCCACAGCTGATGCATGAAATAATGTCCCATTTTCCTACTGTTCGACTATGAACAAAGTTGTTTTGAGACTGGAAGGAAAATAATTTATTTATTAAATGCATTCCTGATACAAAAATTGAGAATTTATTTAATATCAGTTAAACATTAAAATTGAATTTATTGAAACAATTAATAAAGAATAATTGCTTAATTCCATTATATAATAATTAATTTTGAAACAGATTGGTTAGATGATTGTACAATAAGAAATTTTCTACAGTTTTGATAGATTAAAATTTGAATTCCTTCTAGATTCTTGCAAATTTTATAAATACTTAGATCTGGGCAGTCAGATGGCTGACTGCCCAGATCTAAGTATTTATAAAATTTAAGCAGTTAAGGCATCAGCCTACTGTTCTGGGGGACCAAATTCTAAATACCCCAGGAACATTCCAGGAGTGGTCTGTCTGAATATATGGGACTCACCATTCAGCTGCCCCATTACAGACCTTGCCAAATTCATAATGAACTTACTAAAAAAAATGGTCCTCTTAGTGCCCAGAGGGCAAAAAAAGTTATTAAAAAAATTTAGTAGTTAGATCTGAACTTTCCTTCCAAACACTAGGAAATATTGATTCTACTGGAAACCAGATATCATTAAAAAAAAATTGAAACAAACAGCATAATTTATAACAGTTTTTAATAGTACATCAGAAGTTAAAAATTAAATTCTGGTGATTTGTTGAGAACTATATGCAAAAATTTTATTAAGGATACATTATATCTTTCACACTAATATTACAATGGCCACAAATTCTCCTTAGGTAGGGTGACCAGACGTTGCCAAATTCTAGGGAATGTTCCTTGTTTTGTCTGTTTTTAATATTTGATTACAGCATCAATCTTTGAATAGAGCAATTTTATTAACACACCAATATATGATCATCAATTCATAGATCACCAAATAAATAAATTTTAAAAATTAGCCAAAGTTCAATCAGTTTCAGACCCCAATTTCACTGATTCTGAAATATGTTCATGATTGGATTGTAAATATACGGGTCAACCTACCTTATGCCCTTTTCGAAGTCTGTATGCCTGACTGATTTTACTGCTCAGATAGTTAATCAAATGATTTGATATGCCAAAGTAATACTTATAAAGTGTAAAGATCCATTTCCAAATTTGTGGAAAACTAAAGCAGAAATATTTTCTGTTTCTGCAGCATAGAAAGAGTCCAGAAAATAAGTATTTTAAATTCTGTTGTTGTAAGCAAAAATGGGAAGTTGATAGCCAACAGAAATTGAGGATGATTGCAACATCTACAGATCAGCATGGCTGACAACAAAACAAAGCATCAATTGCTTACAAGAATATATATAATGTATTGCTATATTATGAAGCTTTTCAATATCCATTGAAATTTAACTTTCAAAAAGATTCACAAATAATTTAATTTATTTTAATTTCTTTGAAATATTTAATTTAATCATATTAAATTTATTTACAAAATATTAATTTACCTTAGTAATTCCACCTAGATCCAAGGAAACTTTGGTTATACTATTTTTGAAAAATTTATCGTTGTCTTCAGTTGTAGATAAATGAAGATCTGAAGTATTAATTGCCGAGATATCACTCCCTTTAGCATGTATTCGGATATTAAGACAAGCACAAACAAACTGCACCATAATGCTGTTAAATATAATTTTAATTATTTTAAAATATCTCCAACTTGAGAATATATATATATATATATTTGTGAAGCATATTTATTCCAATAAACAGCATGCTGTCTATAACTTTTTTCATCTTGCAGCTATGCTGATTATTAGAATATATATGGTATATATAAAATAATATATGTTGTGGTGAATTTAAAATTGTTATCATGTGACATATTTAATATAAAAATAAAAATATTAAAAAATTGCATAATCTTTGATACAAAAGTATATGTCCTGTGAATATCAAATAAGAAACATAATATATAACTAAGCTAAGTACAAGCCAGTTTTTAAAGTGGTTCCAGGGGTGTACCATATTCCATTACACAATGGATGATTTAACAGACGGTTGTCATACATCGGATCCATGTACAGATCCATTCAGGCCAGAATACACAACCATAAATATGATGTGGTCAAGGGGAATTATAACACAGCACTTGTCCGTTATGCTACCGAATCCGGAGTTTTCCCATTGGGCCTTATACATAGCATCTTTGACTGATCGACTTATGAGGCTCTTGAAATTTATATAGCTAACATGAAAGGAGAGTGCATCAACTTGGACTATACTGCAATACCACAGTCATGGAAATATTATTTAGAGTGCTACAGAATGTAATAATAATAATTCCATTTGTAGCTTTATTTTTAAAATAATTATTTATTTATGATGTAAATGAAATGATTTTCATATCAAACACCTTTTTAAATGTTTAAAAGATTAGAACACAACAATGTACAAAAGATAGAAATTTTCAAATGATAGAACTGTTTTTTTTAATGTATTCAATCCAAATGAAGGTATCTAAATGACGACCAAAAACATTCAAGCAGTAAATTTGTGTTTATTATAAGCTGGAAATCACATTTAGATGTCGCTTATTTAGTTTTACAATTTCAGTTTATAAGTGTGCTGTTTTTTTGATGACAGTTAAACAATGTAAATATAAAATAAATTGCTTGAATCATAATTAGGGATTGTAAATTTACCGACTTTTTCATTTACCGGTAATTCGGTAAATGAAAATTAAAATACCAGTTTACTGGTAAATTACTGGTAAATTTTTTCCCTGAAAAATAAAATTAAGGTGATAAAAAATATAAGTAATTTTGATTTCCATTTCACATTTTTTATTTCAAAGATATAGAATATTAAAAAATATAAAAATTAATTAAAGTGTTATTCTAAACAAACTATAATAATAACTTTTAGAAACATAAATAAAATAATACAGAAAAATAAAAATAAAATGGAAATAATATATAGTACCTAATACCATTTTATTGATTATCATTTTTTAAAAAATAACTTCTCAAGAAACTTAAATTATTTAAAGTCTTATCTCCTAATTTTGATCTAATTTTTGTATAAAATAATCCAGATTAGGTTAGGTTAGTAGACTTTTTCGGACAGCATCTTTAAGTAATAAAAATCTTTCCAGCATGTTTAGTAAGCTATTCCACCTGGTTCTAAAATCTAAAATTAAAGAAAGTTCTTTTCGTGAGAGTAATGGGGATTCCCCACGAAAATAAGGTTAGAATAATACATATTTTGCACAATCTTAAGGCATAATGTTAGAATCTTGTAATAAATATTTGTATTTAATTATTTTAAACAGTTGTTAGAAGTAAAAAATTTATTTAAGGTACAAATTTTAATGTTATTTTGCAATAATATTGCTTTAATGTCCTGTCATAATGTGGTGTATTCAAAATTGCTATTAATTTAAAAAGTACGTGAAATATTTACGTATTATTATTTTTAAATATTAAAAAAAAAAAATTATTTACTTAATCTTTAAGAAAAACGTTGATTGTAAAGATTTTAAACCTTTAAAAATCTCAAAAAACGGCAGAGCACAAATCACATATGCTAACTAGAGCTTTCTGTACAATTTACAGTGCCTCTCAAACCCAAGAAAGTTTAAATTAAAATTAAACAAAAAATATCTCACATAAAATTAATAATTAGGTATATTGTTGCTTACACTTATCTATTTTTTTTTTTTTTTTTCAATGTTCCTTTAGCCCTTTTAAATATCTATAAACACAATATTCTCTACATAAAAATTTCTAGTATAAATTTTTCATTTACAGAATTACCGGTAAATTTCAAAAATTTACCAGTAAGTTTACCGAATGTTTTTTGTCAATTTATCGGTTAACCAGTAAATCGGTAAACCGGTATACAATCCCTAATCATTATATCTAAAATATTAAAACTAAACTTATCATTTAAAGGAGTCCTAGGCAAAAAACTTGGTTTTTTAAGAACAAATCTTATCTTCAGACATGAAACATTCAAAATCATTCTAATACAATAATAAATTCTTATTATATTAGGTCTACCAGAAAGTTCTGTCTGTTTTTGACATATCAAGTTTCAACACACATGAACGTGTTTATTTGAAACATATATGGCTGCCTCTTTTTACCATTGTATTTCTACATATGTGCTCTTCTAAATTTACTGAAACAATAGGTTCATCATCTCTGTATTAAGTGAGATTCATTTGTGTAAGCATGTCTATTGATAAAGTTCATTTACAACATTGTATTCTGTATGAATTCCAACAAGATAGAAATTTGCTGAATATTCTGGTGAAGATACAGTTTCCAACAGAATGTCAGGAGATGATTCAAAAAATTTAAAGCAGGCAATTTTGATCTTAATTACATGCCATGCTCTGAAAGACCATCTCTGATTGATGACAATATTGTTAGGACCATTATACAGCAAGATTCTTTTTTGATAACATCGGAGATTGTGGAAAAGCTGAACTCAACAAACCATTTCAGACCATATTTGGAAACTTGAACTGGTGTGTAAATATTCCAATTGGGTGCTTCAGGAGTTAAGTGAAAAAAATTTACTTGACCGAGTCGTCATTGTACATCTCTGCTTGCTCAGAACAAAAATGAACCTTTCTTAGACCAGATAATAACTGATGATGAAAAGTGGATTAGGTATGAGAATATTGAGAAAAGGAGCACACTGTGAGCCTGGACAATCTTTCCCCTCCACCTCAAAAGTGAGCTTGAGCCTCAATAAGAGAATGTTGTGTGTGGTGGGACACCAAATGACCAATACACTATGAGCTTCTCAAATCCAAAGAAAAGCTCAATTTGGAAATGTATTGTTGACAAATGGATGATTCAAACAAAGCACTAAAAAAAAAGAGACTGAACCTGGTCAATAGGAAGCAAATCATACAGCACCACAACAATGCCAGGCCTTATGCTGATTTGGCAACTCGCCAGAAAATCACAGAGCTAGGCTGGGAAATTCTGTTATGTGAGCCTGAGAGTTTTGAGGGTGTAAATTTTTGTGTTTAACATTTTTAACACTAGAGAATGAAAAAAAATTATTGCAAGTTCCCACAGAAACAGATCGGATGTCGACTCTTAAACATTGACTTAGAATGGTCACGATGTAGAATTGCAGATTTCTGCCCAATTTTACAATGTTATAAGTGCTCCGGATATAATCATTCTGCAAGGGACTACCTGCAAACCATTTATACTTGCAGTCACTGTACAGGAAATCATCCTTATAAGGAATGTCCTAACCGGAAAACAAACCCATTTGCTGCAATTGTCAACAAGAAAACTCTCCAAATCATCATCATAACACGCGAGACGGCTCATGTCCAATTTACAAAAGAATCAAACATTATATTATTTCCAGAACAGAATATGACTCTGAACGACAATAATAAAATTCACATTTTGCAAATTAACTTGGGAAGGAGCATTTCTTCCACTTCCTTCCTTAGCAAGAAAATGACTGAATTTGATATTATTCTAGTACAGGAGCCGTACTGTCGTAAAAATATCCCTACATGTCTCCCTACCTATTGTCCAATCCTACAGGGGACCTGCCAATTCCCATAGGCAATTTCTTTGATTCCGAATACTAATCTTTCTATCATGCACCATACAAAGTACAGCAGCCAATATGTAATAACCACAGAGTTAATGGTTAATGATGTCAGAATAATATTATTAAACATATATTTTCCAGGAGATGCAAACTCTGAGATGTTCATAGACAAGCTTCAAAGAATCACTAGCACCTTTTGTGGTACTCACATCATAATGGCAGGTGACCTGAATGCACATTCTCCCGCATGGGGCGGGGACAATTTAGACCATCGTGGAGGACTGTTGGAAGAATTTTTTGCACTCAACAATCTTCTTATTCTTAATAACTCTTTCTCTCCACCAACCTTTACCTCTCACAGAGGCAACAGTGTGATAGATGTTGCCGTCTGTAGTAACAGCCTTTATACCAGAATAGATAATTGGAGAGTACTGTCTGAAGATAGCTTAACTGAACATGCAATGATTGCTTTTGATATTACCTGTACTGAGGAATACCTGTTACCTGCATTGTCCCCATGCCTGAAATATGCCCTAAATCATGCTAATTGGAGAGAGATGTCAGAATACCTTGAGAGTAACCTTATCAACATTTATTCAGAGAATTCCTCATACATAAGGAAACAAATTGATTACAACATTGAAACAATCACCAACGCGTGTAGTCTCTTCATACCCAAAAAGACACAGAACAGGAAAAGTGTTCCATGGTGGACATCCGAATTAGACAATCTCCGTAAAAATACAAGAAAACTCAGGAAGACATATCAGAGATGCAGGGATAATGCTGCACAAACTGTACATAAAGAGGCCTATCTCTGTAGTCAAAAACTCTACAAAGAAGCAATAAAAGCTAAGAAAACGTGCAGCTGGCGCAAATTTTGTACTAATACATCAAAGAATCCATGGGGATTCATAACAAAAATGTGCAGCAATAAACTGCGAAAAACAAAAATTATAACGGACCTAAGTACTGAAGATTCTAACCCACCTACTCTTATCCAAATGTTAACAGCCCAACTGGATGCCTTCTGTCCTGATGACGATCCAGAGGGTGACACAGACTGGCAACGTTCTATTCGT